GCCCCCCCTGCCCTTGTCCCCAGCCCCTCTCCAGCTTTCCTGGAGCCCCTTCAGGGACTGGAAGGTGCTTTAAGGTCTCCCCACAGCCTTCTCTTCTCCAGGCTGAACAAGCCCAACCCTCTCAGCCTGTCTCCATAGCAGAGGTGCTCCAGCCCTCAGATCATCTCCGTGGCCTCCTCTGGCCTGGCTCCAACAGCTCCATGTCCTTCTTGTGCTGGGGACCCCAGAGCTGGACGCAGCACTGCAGGGGGGTCTCACAAGAGTGGAGCAGAGGGGCAGAATCCCCTCCCTCAACCTGCTGGTCACGCTGCTGGTGATGCAGCCCAGGACACGGGTGGCTTTCTGGGCTGACAGTGCACATTGCTGGCTCATGTTGAGCTTCTTGTCCCCCAACACCCCCAAGTCCTTCTCCTCAGGGCTGCTCTCCATCCCTTCATCCCCCAGTCTGTGCTGATGTTGGGGATTGTCCCAACCCAGGGGCAGGGCCTTGCATTTGGCCTTGTTGAACTTCATGAGATTCACATGGACCCACTCCTCGAGCCTGTCCAGATCCCTCTGGATGATACCTACAGCCCAAACTCAGAAATTCCCTCAGAGTATTTGATCTTGCTGAGTACCCCATCCTCTTGTTACCTGCAGGAACATCGTGCTGGCATCACACCTGAAGCCCCTAGAGAAAAAGGACAAGATGGGTAACAGGAGGAATGTGCTGTGGAATCCATGTGCAGCCCACACCAAGGCCCCACAAACCAGCAACGTGGAAATACCCCAGGTGAGGGAGAAGCTTTCCAGGACTTCGTCCACATCTAAAAATTACTCTAGAATAATTTGGGGATTATTTTAAAGTGCAAGAATCATTCAGAAATATCTCTTCCCTCAAAGTCTCTGGGAATACTGGTGTTTAGATAACCACAGGGTTGTCTCAGCCCCTACTCCATGGCTGGTAAGGGCTTGCACCAGCTGCTTCAAGAAGAGTCTGCTTCAACCCTGTGGGAATCCAAGACCAGCTGCACTGCGTCGGACCAGAGCTCCCAGTACCCTGCCTCTGATGGCGGCCAGGAACAGATTCTTGGGGAAGAGTGCCCTCCCTTGACCGCCCTCTTCCAGCTGGCTGCAGTTTAGAGGCCGAGTGTCAGGCGCGTGCATCTGGATCATCACATTTCGTAGCCACAGACTGCAGATCTGCGAACGGAGCCAGTGCTTTTTTGCCCCACGGTTTAATTATGCATGATATGGAAAAGTGCTGTTTCGTTTAAAACCTGCTGCCTGACGAGTTCACTGGATGCTCCTTAGTTCTTCAGTTGTGGGAAACAGTGACTAAACATTTTCTATCCAGGTCATTTGTGATTTGAGTGACATCTGTCCTGCCCCCTCTGGTAGACTCTGCCCACGCTGGAGACTCCTGGTGACTGGACACGTAGCCAGGGATGTTTCCCATAGATGTTTCTCACAGATTTTTTTAACACTGAATTTCATTTGCCTGTTTATTAGGAGATCCTTTGGTACCTCTTCTACAGAGCTTTGTGTTCGCTTGGCCTGAGCGATGATCTTCCCAGAGCAAATTCTGTTCCTAATCCCGTTAGCGCTTGGGCTCTGATCTCCATGGCTTTTCCATTTTGTGTTTAGACACAGCCTGATGTTGCTGTGCCTTGTTCTCGCTATCTGTATAAAAGCCTAAACATTTTAATCCTCCTTCAGTCCATGCGTCAGTTAAGTCAGCGGTGATGAGTTCAGCAGTTCAATTACATATTATATAAAACAGGATTTCCTTTTATCTGGAGATGCCACATTGAGCTTGGCTCTCTTTTAGTGCAAGCTCTCTGCCACAGACCCGTACAAATGCAGTACGTTATCAGACGGCATGTTTACATCTCATATCTTTTATCTCCTCACTCCTTTGATTTGCCTCGCACTGCCTGAGATGGAGCAGAGGTTTTTACTGAACTACCCTGATCTCCAGGAGATCCTTTCCCAAGCACCAGTGGTGGATTCAGACTGGGCAGAGTGGTTCTGGTTAGGGTTGGGGTTGCTCCACCACTGGTCTGCGTTCATCCATGCCGGCTTTCCTGTCTCATCCATTCTTCCATTATTTTCCCCTGAAGTTCTCTGGTTTCTATGGGGCTTGAGGAACCTGGTATTTCTTTGTCTTTATGTTTTGCCACCTCACAAGCTTTATGCAGCTCTTTGTGCTGTCGAAGCCTGTATTGAAAACATCTCAGCCATCCACAGGTTGATTGGGGAGGAGGGAGGGGATAAAAATCTTTAAGTGGGAACAAAACAAAAGGAACTAACTACTTTTTTTTTCCTTCAGGAATTGGATAAACTTCCCAGAACCTCTGCAGAATTTTACAGAGATTGGCGCAGATGCTTCAAAAGCAGAAAAGAAAAATACCAGTTTTTGCTTGAACTCGGAGGGAAGGCCTTGGGCAGAATCTTTCAGGCTGACTTGGGCTTTGGCCTCCTGGGTGAATTCCTTGCAGTGCTGGCAGAGAACATCTGTCATGAAGACCGAGGTGCCATCCTTCAGATCTTACAGAGCCTGTCGGGCACTAAGCGCTTTGGGTTAAACGTGGATCTTCTGAGCGAGTCGGAGAAAGAGAGCAGCAGGGATTTGTTTAGGAAACTGTGGAGCATGAGCAGGGATTGTTGGACCGCTGGCCATCCCAGTGGCCCAGCTGGCAGCGAAGCAGAGAGGGAAGCCCACCTCATGGATGCCAGCTTGCAAAAGGAAACTGAGGAGAAAAGGAAAGTGATGGAGCTGATGAAAAGTTACCAGGTCAACTGAAGGAGCAGAAGCACCAGGGTCATGCAGAAACAGAGCACAAAAGAGGCTCACAGCTTGACTTTGGCATCACTGCGTGAGACAGCTAAACCAGATTCTTCTGGAGTGGTGTTACACACTTCTCTGTGCCTGGGAGCCACCCAGAGCAATAGTTCTGCACAAATAAAGGTTAGTTATCTGAGGACTGTGTGGTGATCTCTGGGGCAGGGTGTCCTCACAGAATGGCTCTGTCGGAATCTCTTAGATGAGGAGAACAAAGCAAAATTAGGCTGGTATTTTTGAAAAAGAAACCAAAACCCAAATAGTCCCTTCCCTTTTTCATCTCTCTGTTGTCACACAGGGGATTTAAACAACGTTAGTCAATGACACTTCATGTTTAACCGTGCAGCGCTGAAGGTTGAATGGGCTGATGGAGGTGGAAATGCTCTGCAAGGTGATGTATCTGGGACTGATCCAACCAGCTCTTTTATTATTATTTTACCTCAAACAGCAAGGCATGGGGTAAGGTGTCCCTGCCCATGGCAGGGGGGTTGGAACTAGGTGATCTTTGAGGTCCCTTCCAACCCAAACCATTCTGTGATTCTATGAAACCTCAGAGATCCTGTCGCCTCACAGTCCTATGACCTTGGACACTATCTAGTTTGCTGAAATTCCACATAAATTGAAATTTAGAAGTAATTAACAGGCATCAGTCCAATAAAGAGACTCTCCAGGACTGCCTAATACTGCATCTAAATTGAGTAGCCCTTGTTTTGGCTGCAGACTTGAAGGCACAGGGCACAGCTCAGCACCTACCCACCAAGCTCTCTTGCAGTTCTGGCCTGGGAGGATCCTCGAGCTTCTCCCAAGTGTGCTGAGCAGCGCAGTGGATGTTACACTGCTTGGACTGCCTTGAATTCAGCTCAGGAACAACTGCCAGGTCCGTTTTGTTGCAAAACCCAGCTAAAGGAGCAAAAGGTAGAGTCATCTTGGCAGACTACAACCATCCCTCTCCCACCTTCTCTGTAGAACCCACTAGGCACCTAACTGATTCATCTCTGAGGCCTGGCACTTGAATGTCAGGCTTTGTGCCATCTCTATCTTTTCTACAGAGAAATTGTCCAGAGGCTCAGGGCTTGCGCTCACATCCTACGTCAAGGATGGGAACAGCCTGCTGCATCCCCATCACTTGGGGAAAGGCAAAATCCCTGTGGTTTGGTGAGCAGACTCAGGAGAAATTAAGTACGGGAGATGTGGTATGAACATTTAGGGGAGGATGGGCTGTTTGACCAGCTGGGATCAGTTTCCCAATCAGTCGGTTCATGGTCTGACCTGACCGTCTGCTTAAGAAGTGCCAAAAGCTGAGCCGGAGGTCTGGCCAGAGTCTGTGGGGAGCAAATAGCTCACCTTCACTGGAGCAGAGATGCATTTAAGGCCTCCAGGGCTGGTTCCAGCATCAGCCCAGGCAAGGGTGGTGTGAACAAAAAGCCTCACTCCACCACACAGGGAGAGGGAGTCCCAAACGTTACCTGTGCAAAGGGCCTTTGGCACACAAACCCTTGGAGAGCCAACGGGGAGGATGTAGAAGTCTAAATACCATGTTCAAAACCTCTTCTGGGCTACAGAGGTAAGCTGTCATCAGAGGAGGGTCTGCTCTGGGCTCGTTGTGCTCGAAGGGATCAGAACAATAATTAACATTTACTGCACCTGATTCTTTCAAGAAGTCCTCAGTGGTTCCCTCGTTCCCACCACACTTCCCACTGCTGCATCTCCCCTCTGTGGCTGTGCTGCACAAATGACCTGCCTGCTCATTGCCCAGGACACGGATGTCAACGCTCTAGAGCAGCTGGGAGAGCGGAGAGGTTCTAGAGCCCGTGTCCCAGGGGACAGCCTGCCCGGGGGGACACAGAGTGCTTCCCAGCAGATATTCGGCTGGGATGGGATACTTCAGCCGCAGTTTGATCCCCGCTGTCAGCCGCGTGCACTGGGGGGGAAGTCATTTGCAAACCCCGTCTTTGCTGAAGGAGCTGGCGTGTGCACCATCCCTGCCCAGTGCTGGCACTGCTAACCCCACGTGCAAGTTCCTGCCATCCCCACTGAGGACGCGGTGGCTGGGTTGGTTCTGCTGAGACCACCCAATGTGATGGAGACGAGGCTGCCAGGAGCCACCATTCTCCTCTGCATGGTAGATGTTCTCCACGCTTTTGCAATTGAAGAGAAAGGAGATGTGTTCAAGAAAATGGCTTGTCCCGCTTTCCTGATGTTCGACAACGCCGCTTACTTGGCTGACATGACCTTCGAACTCCCTTGCAACTGCAAGCCTGAAGAGGTCTCTTCTGTCATCTGGTACTTCCAAGAGAAGGTGGGCAGCCACAAAACCACGGTCCTGACGGACTTTGCTGGCACCATGGTTGTGGATTCGGGCCATATCCGTGCAGGCAGTGATGTGCTGAAGCGTTTCAGTATCCGGATGTTCAGTCTCATCGTCTTCCGAGCCCAGGAGACAGACTCGGGACACTACCTGTGCGGCACTAAGAAAGGAGACTTCTTTTACGGCTACGACGTGGACGTGCAGCCCACCAAGCACATCATGGTGGCTTTTGTGGACAGAGGCCAGCATGTCCAGGATGACTACACGGAAAAGCTCTTCAGCCTCTTCACCACCTTCTGGGACTGGACCAGATGCGACCGCTGCGGGGTGAGAGGTGAGCAGCGGCGGATCGGGCTGTGCTACCTGCGGAGCACCCAGCTGCACCCTCGCTATCGCGCTGCCGTGCCCAACGTCACATCCTGCGGCTCAAAGGCTGTCCCCACACATTTCCAGCACCGTGGCCGACTCCGGAGACCTGAGGTGGCCATCCGAAGCTGCCTGACCCCTTGCCTGAAGGAGGAGGTCCCCGAGGAAGGCGTGCAAGCCATCTCCAACGTCATTTCCAAGCTGGGCGAGAAGCCCTGGCTGCCCCGCGTCCCCACGCAGTTTCACAAGCACCCCATTGGAAGCGACCTGATCATCGCATGCCCAGGAGCCCGGCCTGAGCATGCTGTGGCCTGGGACAAGGACTCTGTTCGGCTTTACCGCTCCCGCTACCTCATCAATGTCAACAAGAGCATGCGGGTCTTCATCGACCATGGAAACCACCTGCACATCCAGCGGGTCCGGGTCAGTGATAGAGGCACCTACTTCTGCTGGCGGGAGGGCAAGATGGTGGCCGGCTTCCGACTCAGTGTGATGTACCAGCAGCGGCGCAGGCGGACACTCAACGATCCTGAGACCATTTATGCCATCAAGGCCATCGGCATGAGCTACATCCTCATCAGCATCATCTTCATCGTCATCCACGTGTGCCGCTGCTGCTGGCGGGTGTTCAGGTGCCCTGCCAGGATATAGCATCTCCACGGCCCCGACGGGTCACTGTTACACCTTGCATCATTCTTCTTAGAAATTTCTAATATTCTGACCGTTAGAAATCAATGGGACCCTGCTCATCTTCTCTTTTGGGTCGAGAGCGCGACAGCGAGGACTGATGTGGGAAACTCCCTGAGCTGTGGATTGGTACGGCTCCGTGGGGACATGCGGGCATTTCACGCCACCACGGCTGGTTCCTGGCCCTGCTGCTGGCTTGCGGTGAGGTTTCAAGCTCAATACAGTCCTTTTCAAAAGAATAGTTGGAGTTGTTGCAAGATTTTCTGGGCAAGCTCTACAGGCTTCTCGAACTGCATCAGTGATTTATTAGAGCTGGTTTTCTAAAAGGCTGCTAAAAGGAGCCACCAAACTATTTTAATCCAATTAATTCTTCCTTTTCTTACCCTTTTTTAAAAAAAACCTGTTTTTCACTGCTGAGAACTTTGAGTGCCAATGTTTCAAAACGCTCAATGTTCCTTTGAGCTCCTTAGCTGGAACACACCCATTTTTAAAAATCTTTCTTTTCTGAAGGGGAAAAAGACATTTCCTAATGAATCTCCTGGATTTCTTCACCAATTTCTCTGTTTTTGTTTGTTGTTTTCATTAACTTGCCCATCTCAGCACAGACTTGTGAGTTGATCTTTATGCCTGACAAAAGATGTCCTCCGAAGAAGATGGCATCGCTGCAGGGTTTAGGTGGCCACTCGCTCAGCGTAGAGCAGGACTTCCCCATGGAGCTCATGTCCGCTCCTTTTTTCAAGGATGTGGCTTGGGGATTTCAGCTTTCCCCACAGAAATATCGCTGTCCCGGAGGCCGGGCAGCCTTGAGGGTCTCAGCGATGCACTTGAACCGTGTAGATGACATGCAGGATCTCAAATCCACCATCAGTCCTGACAGCTGCAGCTGATCCCAGGAGCTTCCCAGGAGCCGCAGCCTGGGCTCGTGCAGGGAAGGAGCTGGGTTTGGGGCTGAAACCACTGAGCAGATCTCTTCTTCGCCTCCCTCCCTCCCGGGAAGGGGATCTCTCCCACCCTGCTGCCTGGCTGACAGGTCCAGGGGGCGGTTAAGCCTGCACCCACCTCCCCTGTGTTTCAAGCCATGAAGCGGTGGCCATGCCTCGGGGTACAGTGCTCAGCTTGCATCCCCCGGCAACTTCAAGCCCGGTTTGGGCTCCCAAAGGGACTCGCCACCCCAGTTAATCCCAAATAACCCACGGCACTGGCTGCGGAGAGGCGGATTGCAGGCACGACCGTGAAAGTACAGCGCTTGTGTTAGCTTTATTTCTCATCTCAGGCTGCCACGGGCATTAGTGCATTAATTCAGTAGCGACGTGGGCTGTGAAACTCCAGCCGGAGGCTGCTCACAGGGTACCGACCCCCCTGCCGGCCACCACCATTCCACCCTGGATGCCAAACCTGGGCAGCACCCGGGTCTCCTATAACATCTCCTGCCCCTGGGAATGGCCTTTGTAGTTGCAAAGCACGCTCAGCAGCTGAGCCAGGGGACGGAGGGGACAAGGGGGATGGCATCCGAGTGGCATCCCATGTGCTCATCCCAGTGGGCTTACGGGGTAAAGCAGCGCTGCTGGGTCATTGCTCCTACGTTAGGTGGCATCGGGGC